TAAAACTAAGCAATGTTGGGCTGGTATTTTTTGCCAAACATTTATTATTTTAAAGGCGATAGGTATTTTATTTTCCCCACCATTTGTGGTTTCTACTGAAAAAGCAAACACCACATACATTGAAAATGCAGAGACATCAGCCTCAGGTGCTGAGGACGAAGAACAGGCTAGTTAGTTTGAAAATGTTCCGATAGAGATTACAACATGAGCCGTGCAACCACTGGGAAATTAACAATAGAAGTGTACGTGGAATTTGTGCACGAAATAGGAAACAATAAAATAATCTAGTTATTCTACATATCTACAAGTCCAGTTGCAGGCTGGCTGATTGTTCGGTCCCGTATTTTGTTTGCACAGTTACCTTGCCTATATCCTCTCAGAAATCCATGGAGGTATTCATTGTCTTCAAGTTAACGAATTCATGATGTCTTCTACCACGTAGCTTGCTGATAACTGCGATACCCTCTCATTGTTTCAAATAATAATCTTGTGGTTGTAGCATTCAACTTCATCTTTACATATTTCAGTCTGTCTACCTTGTGATACCCCCCCTCAAAAAAAAAATAAAGATTTGGAAGTAAATTGCATCAAACAAAAAAATCCCTCTCCATTCTTTAATAATCCTCATAGATCACTGTGGCGTAGAGTTTTTCATCGGTGGACTATTCAAGATAACCTTTCAGCATTCCCTTTCTGACCTGTTTAACAGCTTCGTCAGTTGTTTCCTTTGTACAACTTCTATATAAGAGATATTTTCAAAATTTTATTCTACATCGTATGTGACTACCCTCGTCTTTTTGCACGGTTTCAGGTTATGGCCGGTGTCAACTTATGGTCCGTGTTGCTTACCGTCGTTCCCATGATTTATCAGAATGTTTTGCACTCGTCCGTGCTATTCGGCCTAGCACATCCGGAATTCATCGCGGACGTGGCCGCCTCAGCCACTTGCTCTGCTGTGGGCCAGTTGTTCATATTCCTCACAATTTCCCAATTCGGCCCGGCCACCTTTGTCTTAATCATGACTCTACGCATGGGCTTGTCTCTCCTTTTGTCCTGTATCCTATTCGGTCACTCATTGTCCGCCAGTGGTATTCTGGGTGTGTCACTAGTGTTTGTGGCATTGTTCGCCCGTATGTACTGGCGGCGATCTGGTGTAAAGCAGGGACCAAATACAACTGCGAGCAAGTGATCAACGTGCTACGACATCATGACATCAACACAAGTTGTCCATTGCCGTTTTAGGTGATGATCTGTGATCTCAACAACTTTTCCCTATCCTCACCTCCTTACCTGTCTAATCAATTTTTCTTCAACTATACCTATTTTTGTGCCTAGACTAATAACGTCAACCTTTCGGATAGCACTTTTCCGACCGATTTGACGGCAACGAGAAGATTATGGCATTTTTTGAATTAGTCTTTAATATTGTCTTTCTTTTGAAATTTTGCAGTATTTTGTTTCGCACAGATACTAGATCGGTTGATCCTGACAAAATCATGAGAAATACTCTGACAGAGGTTTCTGTGAGTGATCATATCAGAGTGTTCACGCGTTATCTATTATTTTTGTAGTTTGCTTCCACTTGGTTTTGAGATTTGGCTTTTGGCACACAATTATGCTGCAGAGTTTCACGGTACTCTTAACTTCACTATGTAATTTTGATGTCAGTTTCGATACTATATGTGGGAGTGTATCAAACTGCTTATAACCTTGTTTAGGAAAGTATGAAACTTGGCTCAACAACTCTTCCATTCTGAATATTCACAATTGGAGTTTTCTACTTTGAGACTTGTATCCATCGTGTTCAGAAGTAGTGCATTTTCAATTGTATGGCACCGCACAGTAGCGACAGTGAATCAGTTTGTTTGGAGCATCTGGTACACGACGGGGATGGACCACATTAGACTGCATGCTACGCAAGTAGTAGTTGGCTTTCCAGATTCTATTCTGATGTAGAGGCGATACAAACGAGCATTGAATCGATCTTTTACGGTTTGCGTTTGAGTTGTGAATAGCTCACGCAGTAGCCTCGACAGGGCGTCGCATCTGCCTCTCTGTACGATCCGAGCTCTACCGATTTAGCAACGGGACCACAGAGACATCTGAAAGTTTCTCACATTGTCAAGTACCCATCTTACTGGGTGGTTTTCTAACTTCCGAATGAATGTTCAAACTAATAAGTTCTCTTTCTCATCACACTCATTGAGCTCTATCAAAATTCGCTGCTTAACGCGCCATCGAAAATCCGCATACTTAGCAACGGTACAAGATACAATGAAATAACTAACAAATTAATTGCATGATCAATTTTGAACTCATTCCTGGACTAACATAAATTGCACCTTTTTCTCTGTAATTCCCCAAAGTGGCCTCCTATCCACAATACACAGCGGTAACAACCTGTCACATACAGCTTCTCTGTTTAATACTCAACTTGGTTGTATATTTCATTATCCTTGTCGTATCATTTGTCATCCTTATCGCTTCTTCACAGCTTGATTACATCTGTACGATACTTATAGTCCAACGAGTGAGAAAAATGATTTGATCAGGCTGTGAAAAGACCCGACAGAGATGGTAACTTATTCAATTAGGATGATAACATATCCGGCGAAGTTGAGTAACACAGGGAGAAGTTGTATTTGTCATGTTTTTGCCATTGGCGTTGGGAATAAAATGAATTTTTCAATTCGGACATTACAGAAAAAGTAATTTATGTTAGCTAGTGAAAAAGGGAAAATTTCATCTTGCAATTAGTTCATTGGTTATTTCACTGTATCTTTGTACCATTATTAAGTATCTTGCCCAGTGTGTCCTTCCATGCCGGAATTATGTAGGCTGTTGTATTTGGTTCAAAGGAATTGATGTTATTCGAGTGAACCGGCCTTAATGGAATTTACTCACTAGGCTATTGAGGGCCTAGACTGAATCCAGTCATACAATGATTCCTGTCTAAGCATGGTGACTGATTCATCGACCCATTCTGACGTTATTCGCTTCCTCGCCCGCCCGCCCGGGATCAGCTACTGCCGGATTTGTTCATACTCGTCCAAGGCCTAATGGATCACCATTCCAGGACGAAGCTGTTACGGGTTGAGAGCCGAACAGTTAAACCCCGTCCCACAGAAAATTTCTACTCAGAAAGTACTTGTGTTTGATTATGGAGAAATCCATTCGTTCCGAATGGACGAGGTCTTGATAGGGCCAGTCCCACCGGACTGGGACGGCTGAAACACCAATCATGTTGTGAGGTTCCTTGTAGAATCCGATTGGTGGGATTCGCTTCAAGCTCCAAAGGTATATGTCCTAAAGTAAACGCTGAATGCATTGGACAATAGCGTTCGAGAAAAAAACCACATAACACATATGTTACACACTAACTTCTTTCCTACATTTCAAGCTCACATTGCCCGTCGGATGATCTATTCATACGTTTGTGATGAAAGATGTGTCTGTGGATATCCATTAATTTGTTCGTTCGTTTCTGTTATTTCCGTTTCCTATTTAAACCGATGCACATATTCGTTACGACTAGGGTGGGTCCTTATCGGTGCTTCCGTTGCTATTCAAGTTAGGCACCCGGAGTCCGAGCATCATTCATTGCAAATAGCCTAACGTGATCTATAACTAGTGATATCCGATTCGGATAACTTTTGGTGCATTCAATATGCCATATTCATCTTCTTAGCGTCGGGTAAATGGATTCTTTATTAATTTCTCATTTAAAAATACTGCTGCTGATTTGATATGGCAAAAGTCTTTATCGATAAATAATAAAGCAGGAAGTATTTGGCATCAAAGCCGAAAGGAGGCATATGTCGCGAGATGTTAACATTTAGTTTAATCTTCTCAATCGCTGACGTAAAAAAACAAGCACATTTATAGCACATTAGATTTGTAAATCCTAGTGAACGGACATGTACCGTTAGACAGGGTTCTATTAGAATTACAAAAAAGACCGATTTTGTGTATGCACAAATCACCATATCACAAACTCGCTCGATGGTTGGTGGAAATTCTAAATCCCGTTCGTAAGTTTTTAACACCCCATTGTTTAAAAGATTCTTTTGAACTTTCAAATTGCCTCGAAAATTTGACCATATTTTTACTGCGGATGGATTCTATAGATGTGGATTCCCTTTTCACTAATTTTCCACTTCACGAAACAGTTAATTTTTTTGTGATTATATTTCTTCAAGTAATTTTTTCCTTGCCATTCCTCTTAAGTACTTAAGAGAAATAATATTTTTGTGTACCGAAAACATACGTTTTGAATTCGAAGGAGCCACATATAAACAGATTGATGGTGTGACCATGGGCAGTCCATTAGGCCCAATTCTAGCCGATGTATTTTTAGGAATGATTGAACAAGTGAACTGATTGGATCAACAACTTTTGGGCGCACAGAACGGGATTATGTAATCGGATTAGCAACGCCTCACTTATCGCCAACAGTTTTGCACTACAATTACGTAACAACGGTTTAAAAGAGGAAGCGGGATCAATTATGTGCTTGGTTGTCATGAGGTGTTTTGCAATTGATAACCCCGGGTTACGTGTGACCGCCTGATTACTGGGCGTGGGTTGCGTCATTGACTTAACCAACCACTTTGGAATGTGTTCGGCCATCCGCTGTGATAATTGACGGTTGGTTCTGCCTATGTATGCGTCACCGCAACTGCAGGTGAACTGGTATACTGTGTGTGAGACAGAACTGGATTGCCAACCATGTACGTTTGTCCAAGTCGATTCCACGAGTAGAGGCAATAAGTCGGAGTTGAGCAGCTGGGAATGTGCGGTTGAGAGCTCACTTTAACCATCGTTCAGAAGGTGATCGCCTTTAAAAGATAGTTTGATGTAAACGGTTTTCTGGGGAACCGTTGGCGATGGGCTACCTTTTTGAGATTTTTTACTGTGAATATCAATGAACCTTTCAGGGTAACCGTTTTGTAGTAACGTCTTCTTTAGAAATTCTTCTCGTAGCGTGTCTGGGGAACAAATTCTTCTGGCGCGATGGAACAGAGTTTTTACGAGTCCACGTTTGTAAGCCATGAGTGAGAAGCTAGAGAACTGTAGATATTGACCACTCCATATTGCTTTTCTGTGGATAGAACGCTGTAATGTACCATCTAAGTGCCTCGTAATTCTTATATCCAAAAATGCTAGAGATTCATTGCTTTCTTCTTCGTGGGATACGGAAAGATTTGGATGAACAGAGTTAAATTGTCTCAAAAGGGATTCAAAATGTTCACGCCCCGTAAGAATAAAGAATACGTAATTGTAATGCAAAACTGTTGGCGATAAGTGAGGCGTTGCTAATCCGCTTACATAATCCCGTTCTGTGCGCCCAAAAGTTGTTGATCCAATCAGTTCACTTGCCGTGGAGTTGACCTGTACTTTTTTAAATATTTTTTTGTAATTCCAATAGTCCCTGTCTAACTGTACATGTCCGTTCACTAGAATTTACAAATCTAATGTGCTATAAATGTGCTTGTTTTTTACGTCAGCGATTGAGAAGATTAAACTAAATGTTAACATCTCGCGACATGTCTTCTTTCGGCTTTGATGCGATGGATAAAGGGGACCCAGTGTTTCAAGGCATCTTTTGTTGATTTTCGAACACCCGATCCGGAATAAGGCGCAAGTCATCCATGCGTTTTAAGATGATTTATAATTGCAGTTCAAGCTTTTGCTACCTATACCACAGATAGATCTCGGAGTTTAAAGTTTTCCAATAATCAGCGGTGAGATATTTTTATCCAGTCATAGTCTCACAAATCAGTAGCATGATCGTTTGAATTTCTTGGCTGCAGAAACTGTTTGGTCCTGGAGACATTGTGATTTTTGGGAGTTGCATGTGATACACCGTCGTTTCATCACCATTGGAAATATCACAGTCAGCGTATCCATGGATCAATTGCTGTAGCTCCGCTAGAAAGTCGCCGTTGCATCACGTGGTGCCAACGAACTTTGCAAACCTATAAAAAGTAACCTGCGTAAGAATTCGCTTGTCTCTTACTTTATTGACTTATATATATCTATATATGACAGTTTTGTCAACAACGGTGTTGATTGTTGCTTTTGTAGCTCGGGTAGTATAAATTGGTGTTCAGTTGTTTGCCAAGCTCGGCGAACAACTGAACACCATATATATTTGATAATAAGTAGTATGTGAATGACTGGACAAAA